TAGATAATTTAATGTAATTCGTGACTTCCAAAAGTGAAATCACCTGGTGCCCTAGTGGCACAGTAACAGAATTACTTTTTACAGTTTTACAAACACGTGTTACTATAGATGTAAAAACAAAAGATAATAAAAAAGACAGATCATGTCTGAAGAAAAAATAGAAATTCTCATGTTACTTTAATGATAGGTTATAGCACTGCCTATCTAGTATAAGGTGGACATTTTCTTATATTGTTAACAAACATCACAAAATTTATTTGTTTTGTTGAATTTCACGTAAAGTTACTAGATGTCTGTCTGAGATAACCGTCCCTAATTTTGAAGTGATAGACTAAAAGGAAGGCAGCTAGTCAGCACCACCCACCGCCAACTCTTGGGATACTCTTTATTTACGAATAGTGGAATTGATCATCACATTATATGATTATATGATTTAAGGATGGCTATGTTCTGTGGCAGGATTCGATCCTGCGACCTGCAGATTGCCATGCCAGGGCCCATCACGGAAGATTTTTTAAGATATATTTCTGGGGTAAATTTTAGTTTACGTTCTATGTGACTCACAAAGAGAAGTATGCTAGTCTTTATTATTTGTAACCAGATTAAGAACGTGATGAATAGAGGCAGAAAAAAGTATTATTCGTTTTATTGTGACATAGCATAACACAAATTATTGATCAACGCTTGAACCCTTTAAAGTTTATAACTAATATCTAAATAAGTGATAGAGATTAGAAGAAATAAAAGTTATATCCCAAAACCTTAATTGCAATTTTAATCTCACAACACTTTGGACTGGGAGTATGATTTTGTACTCCGTGTTAACCAGATTTGTTGTTTTTTAGACAACAGCATTAGAACAGAACCGTGATAAAATTGAATACAAATGAGAATATAGAAGTCTAAAGAAAATTAAGTTAATATATGAATTTATAGTCTTGCTTGAACAGCTCCGTTTAGATACCTTACTAAAGCTGTTGTCAAACCTCTGGAACTAATAACGGCTAATCGTAAAGCAGCTAAAACACAACAAACTAAATTAGCAGAGAACATCTAGCTTTATAGGTAATCCAGTAAGTGTTACGAAACAGTAGTTGTTAACCAAAATTACTCTAGTTTACAAAACGTCAAAAAACACACATTAACGCTTGCAGTTTTCATTAAACCGACGGGTTATGTGTTCCCAAATGTACCTCCAGGAGCAAGCGTCTCTCTGTGAATTGAAGAAAATATCAACTCATAACTCAAGATCAGATAACTTATTAAGCTAAAATTAACTCAGAGTATTTTTGAAGAAAGAGACAGCCGTTTTATTCAAAACATTCTATAAATTTCATACATTGTTAATTAATTGTCTGAATAAATCATTGAAGGATTGCCCTAAATTCTTGGAGACTACAGTATTCATTCATGAATAAATTATTAAAGGATTGACTGTAAATTCTTGGAGACTACAGTATTCATTCATGAATAAATCAATGAAAGATTGACTGTAAATTCTTGGAGACTACAGTATTCATTCATGAATGAATCAATGAAGGATTGACTGTAAATTCTTGGAGACTACAGTATTCATTCATGAATGAATCAATGAAGGATTGACTGTAAATTCTTGGAGACTACAGTATTCATTCATGAATAAATTATTAAAGGATTGACTGTAAATTCTTGGAGACTACAGTATTCATTCATGAATAAATCAATGAAAGATTGACTGTAAATTCTTGAGGACTACAGTATGCATTCATGAATAAATCAATGAAGGATTGACTGTAAATTCTTGGAGACTACAGTATTCATTCATGAATAAATTATTAAAGGATTGACTGTAAATTTTTGGAGACTACAGTATTCATTCATGAATAAATCAATGAAGAATTGACTGTCAATTTTTGGAGACTACAGTATTCATCACGTTTCACAGCTAGACAAATCAGTTTCCTTCTGTACCTAAACATTTCCTGTTTATATTACTGCTTGTTTATAAAACAACAAATTAACAACGAATAACTTTGAATTAAAAACACCCACTTCAACAGTTATTTTACTTTTGTAGAATGATAGGTTTTCTTAACGCATATTATGTTATAATTTATTAGTTATATTTTGAAATATTAGATTAGTTACAGCGTACGAGTTTTGTATATTGTTTTTACTGCAATAAATAAATCTCACTTTAGATGTGCATGTCAACATTTCAATATCGTTTTATTTTGATTTGTATAGAGAAGTCAATCGTAAGACTAGAGTTTCAGTCAAAAAATATAGAAAAACTCTCTCTAAGTCTCTAAGTATGTCCAGCCCTCCAATACTACGATGTAAGACCACTTTAATATGTTATACAGTATATATATCTGTGTAAGTATGCCCAGCCCTCCAGTACTACATCGTAAGACCACTTCAGTATGTTATACAGTACATATATCTGTGTAAGTATGCCCAGCCCTCCAATACTACATCGTAAGACCACTTCAATATGTTATACAGTACATATATCTGTGTAAGTATGCCCAGCTTTCCAATACTACATTGTAAAACCACGTTAATATGTTATACGGTACTTACATCTGGGTAAGTATGCTCAGCCCTCCAATACTACGTCATAAGACCACTTTGATATGTTATACAGTACTTATGTCTGTGTAAGTATGCACAGCCCTCCAATACTACATCGTAAGACAACTTTATTATGTTATACAGTACTTACATCTGAGTAAGTATGCACAGCCCTCCAATACTACATCGTAAGACAACTTTATTATGTTATACAGTACTTACATCTGTGTAAGTATACACAGCCTTCCAATACTACGTCGTAAGACAACTTTATTATGTTATACAGTACTTACATCTGTGTAAGTATACACAGCCCTCCAATACTACATCGTAAGACAACTTTATTATGTTATACAGTACTTACATCTGTGTAAATATACACAGCCCTCCAATACTACATCGTAAGACAACTTTATTATGTTATACAGTACTTATCTCTGTGACAACTTAGAGAAAGTTATAATTTTCACATAAACACGCAAGCACGTTAGACCGCAAATAGAAAGTCTTATCTAGTTACCACTAGGTAACCTATACCCTTCGGGGTAGAAACAGATTGTTAAAGTATCAATTATCGAATACAGGGAATATTTGGCACTGGATAGATAGGTAGATAGAATCATATACGTGGATGCTAAAGTACAGTTGAAGTGAAGTTTAAAAGATTAGTAGTACAAAGTTGTTATGATGCATTAATTGCCACAGTACAAACATGTCTGTATTTTAAAACATTCTATGCTACAACTGTGTCTCACTCCATAATAACTGTATCTCAAGGACAATGAACCAATGGACTAGGCTCTTAGACAGATATCCCATATTATAAATCTTATACATAAGTTACACCAACATACTAATCTATATGTTTTTACTTCAGTTATATGTACTAGTGAAAGGAATTAAGGCAGCTTCCAAATTTTAATCATTAATCAACTTTTTTTTCGTTCTTGGTAAAAACAGAAAACATCGCTTACACTTATATATAATGCCAAAATAGACTGTTTTCTGCAGGGAGCCGAATATATATTTCTTTTCTATGTTTATGCTACTCTTTGGTTTTTAAACAATCAATACTTAACAAATTATGTTTGTATCTTGAATCCAAATTTTTTTCTTTTATGTTTAGGCCCGGCATGGCCAGGTGGTTAGGGCGCTCGACTCGCAATCTGAGGGTCGCAGGTTCGAATCCCCGCTCCACCAAACATACTCGCCCTTTCAGTCGGAGGGGTGATATAACGTGACGGTCAAACCCATTATTCGTTGGTAAAAGAGTAGCCCAAGAGTTGGCGGTGGGTGGTACCTTCCCTCTAGTCTTACACTGCTAAGTTACGGACGGCTAGCGCAGAAATTCAAAAACAAACAAACAATCTTTTACGTTTTCTTATTTAATAGATTCAAAACAATGAATATCTTTGTCAGTTCTAAACAGTACCAACTTTTCGTTTTAATGAGATCGTGTATTATATTCATCTACAATGTACAACGTTTAGGCATTCTTGTTGTATTATTCATTAAAATTTGAACATATGAACGTTAAATATTCTAAAAAATGGAACTGGAATTTTCAACCTGGATGATACCTTATGCCCATATGGGCTGGTCGACCAAGTCAGTAATCCCTAGAGTTCAGGTATAGCCAGCCGTCCATAATTCTCAACTACTGACTAGAGGGAGGGAAGCCAGCTACCAGCAAGCACCCTTCGCCACTGTAGGCTTTGTCCAGCTTTTTGAAACGAATAACAGAGTTGGCTGCTATATTTTAATTTGCCCAAATATGAAAAGTGCGGAACGTGCTCAGTGGTACCACTTTTCGAACCTTGTGATTCCGAGACTGGCACCCTAACTACTAGACCACGACCGACAAAATACTATATGAACACCGTTTCAGAATTAGCTTAATATAGAATCTCAACTTACATTCTGTTTTTTAATTAAATATATTAGTGCAAAATATTTTTTCATAAAAAGGATTTATAAAGGTGAAATACTTTGGCATTATATAATACAAAGCAGCAGATACTCTCAATATTTTTATACGACTGAATACAATTAAAGTTTTCGAAGTAAAAGATTGATTAAAACGGTTTTATATTGATCAATTTTCTAGAGAGAATGTCATAAACCAATCATTTTGTAGGACTGTATGTGACGTAGGTACTTCTATAATAACTGTTTTACCTTCATGCCAAGGGTCGAGGTGTTTGTTATATAGCACGTTCTCGCGTTAGTGGGTCAGTCAATAAATCGTTCTCGGTTACAATTGTCAACGTGATTTTAACGTCCCTTCGGAACGTTGTATTCAATCTAACATTTTTGTAATTGATAACTCTTGACATAATAGTGAAACATAATCAAAAACGGTAGACAATCTGATACTGAAGACCAGAATATCCATCGATATGCGAAAGCTACATAGAATTATTTGTGTTTTCTTGATGTCGGTGATGGTAGCAGGAGGACCACTTGATAAGAACAAAGATGATTCAGTAGTTCATGGTCAAACTAACCAAGGAATGGACAGCAAAAATGGACTGCCCACTCATAAGATATCAAATGTACCCATCTCACCATCACCACAGGAAGAGGACAAAACTTTACGTTCCTGGATGAATTTAGAGAAGATGTTAGGCGAAGCGATAGCTAAGGTTGTTCTAAAGCTCTTTCCGACACTAATACGTGTAGGTTTAGAAACAAAACTTTCTAACCAGTGTCGAAACAGCATGCTGAAGACTGTTCTAGGAATACGACATTTAAAGCCATGGGCATTCAAAAGTAAGTAATATAAAACTTCATCTTGTAAGTAAAATTTTTATAATTAAACTAAACCGTTAGTGATTACAAAATATTAACACATTGCATTGTCAACTCATTGTTTTCGTCAAGTAGCACAAAGGAACAAATCATCAATGTATTTTACAATTTTGAAAATTGTTTTTTTTTTTTTCAAAGAGCTGCACAATAGGATATTTGCTTTGTGTCCGCTGCGGGGATCTAACTTCGAATTCTTGAAAGTAGATAAAACAACGACGAAAAATATTACTATTGAAAGTTTCCTGTTTTAACTCCAGTAGTAAGGATCTCAATTTCACACACCAAGTAGTGAATCACAAGTAGTAAATAACTCTTAATCACAAAAATTCATCACGTGGGAAACAGTGAAATAGCAACAAAGAATTGTATTTATGCTCAATCCAAGTTTGTATATAACCTATTTTTATTGAAGGGTTAAGATTGTAGAATGAGGTAGCATCTGTGTAAACATGATACTATTTGAGCGTTCCGGTACTGCACATTTTAAAAGCATGATAACTAAATAATATCTAAAATCTAACATTTACGCATTATTAAAATATGTTTATTGAATCTTGAAGGCAAAGAAGAAGACGTTAAAAGATGGAGACTATTTTTAAGTGGAAGCCATAGGCGACTTTAATGAGCATCTTTTAATTGTGTAAATGAGAAACGAGGTATTTTAATTATTTGTTAGATTATAAGAATTAAACAAGAGCAAATCATTCATACAAAATAATATCTAAATTATAAAAACAAGTCTCATTGAATATAAAGATGTCTAAACAAACAAGTCTGTCTGAGTATAAAGATGTTTAAACAAACAAGTCTGTCTGAGTATAAAGATGTTTAAACAAACAAGTCTGTCTGAGTATTATAGTGTTTAAACAAACAAGTTTCAATGAGTATAAAGATGTTTAAACAAACAAGTCTGTCTGAGTATAAAGATGTTTAAACAAACAAGTCTGTCTGAGTATAAAGGTGTTTAAACAAACAAGTTTCATTCAGTATAAAGATGTTTAAACAAACAAGTCTGTCTGAGTATAAAGATGTTTAAACAAACAAGTTCCACTGAGTATAAAGATGTTTAAACAAACAAGTTTCATTCAGTATAAAGATGTTTAAACAAACAAGTCTGTCTGAGTATAAAGATGTTTAAACAAACAAGTTTCACCGAGTATAAAGAAGTTTAAACAATCAAGTCTCACTGAGTATAAAGATGTTTAAACAAACAAGTTCCACTGAGTATAAAGGTGTTTAAACAAACAAACTTTTAGAATAAAACGCATCTCTCGTGTTTTCTCAAACCATAGAAGTACGTACAAGCTTCTAAGGCTTACGTTTGACGTGTATTTCCCAAACCTTTTGTTTTCGACACCATACTGGTGTACCCCTGGCCTACATTTAGTTCTTACAATGTGTCGTTTTGTAAGCATATGTGTATATATTCTACAGAGCTTAAGCTTATTTAGAGAAAAGAGAGCGAGGTCGTAGTTGCATCACAGATTTTTTAATGGATTGAATTTATACAAGTGACTTTAATTATGAGCAACGTACTTGTATGTATGATGTTAGAAGACAGGCATCGTTTTCACACATTCAACAACAGAGATCCATAGTGCTTATAATCCAATTAATATAAAAACGGATATTTTCTGTTTGTTTGAAGTTAAGCACAAAGCAACACAATGGTTTCTAGCGTTGTAAGTCCGCAGACCGCTGTGCCACTGGGAGGCAAAAAGGGATATCATAGCATTCATATACAATTAGTAATGCAAGCATTATCATAGTTTGTTTGTTTGTTATGGATTTCGCGCAAAGCTACACAAGAGATATCTACGCTAGCCCTCCCTAATTTAGCAGGGTATGACTAGAGGGAAGGCAGCTAGTTATCACCACCCGCTGCTAACTCTTGGGCTACT